AATTATTTAACTGGGGTTGTTGACCTCAACATCTATCTCCACAGGGCCTTTCCATATGGTCTGGATTTTCTGTGTGGAGAGAGAGAGATCCAGGCAAAAGAAGTGGCACCACCTTTTATGACCTAACCTAACCTTTATGGGGAATGGCAAGGTCACACTGTAAGAAGAGCAAGGAGAAATGGGAGATATTATTACAATCTTTGGAAGATTAAATTTGCCACATGCAGTCATGACTAGGTCACCTCCCCATCCAGCTGCAGAAGGGACTGGAGGGATACATTTCAGCCTTGCCTTCTAGAAGGGCTGGTGTCAGGACCTCTAACCCCTGCTGAGAAAAGGGCCCAGGGAGAGTTGGGAATTTGATCTTCACAGCCACTTCCAGCTCTTCMGCTCCTGGGTCATTGGAGCCCAGAGGGATCAGAACCTGGGGCAATGGGACCAAGAGCCTGACCCAGGTGCCTAAAATGTCTGCTCTCCTGGAGGATTGGAATCTCTGGGGAAGGCAGACTCTGCCTGGACATCTGTTTCTCCCGCTGGCTTCCCTGCTTGACTAAAGATTCCTCCTCTTTCRTTTCTCCCTGGGGCATGTTGTTGTCTTTCTCATTAACTTCCCCTCAACTCTCAGCAAGGTCCCTAGACTCTGAGCTCTGCTAATTCCCCTGTAATCCTCTGGCAAACCAGGAGGCTAATTAAATTGTGAGCTTGTGCAGTCACAGTCTCCAAATCTCTTAGTCTCCCTTCTTTTTCTTTGTGACTGTCCCTGCAGAGTCCAGATTCGTTTGGACATTTTTTATTGTCTTCTCCTTGATCTGCCTTCTTCTCCTCTCTTCTCAGTCTTCTATCTTTTAATCTGCAACCAGAGTAACCTGAAAATACAGCTCTGAGCATYGCTTTCTCTCTGCTGCAAGATAAAAGCTCTTTAGCTTGCTTTGAAACTCCACACATCTTCTCTGCCATAACTTCCCTTCACAAACCCTTCTCTTAGGAAATGAGCCATGAACAGTGCCCCTCCCCAAGTCCCTGTCTATGCCACCTCCGCATTTCTCTTCATATTCTTACCTTTAATTAGACCTTATACCCCGCTCACTCCTCCATCTCCACCCCCATCTCCCCATGTCAAAACCCTACTCATTACTTAGAAATAGCCTACTTTTGCCACTTTTCCTGATCTCCCCCAGCTGAAACTGCACCCTCTTTGAGCTCTCCTGGTATTTTGTGGCTTACTGCTACTGGCATGATGCCTTTTCAGATTTTTTATTTGCTTTTTTTTTTTTTTTTTTGTAGTACCAGAGATTGAACCCAAGGGCACTTAACCACTGAGCCACACTTTTTTTTTTTTTTTTTTTGTAGTTGTAGATGGACAGCATGTCTTTAGTTTATTTATTTTTATGTGGTGCTGGCGATCAAACCCAGTGCCTCACATGTGCAAGGCAAGTGCTCTACCACTGAGCTACAACCCCAGCCCTCCCCAGCCCTTTTAAAATTTTATGTAGAGACAGTGTCTCACAGTCTCACAGTCTCACAGAGTTGCTCAGGGCCTCACTAAGTTGTTGAGTGCTGGCTTTGAACCTGTGATCCTCCTGCCTCAGGCTCCAGAGCCACTAAGATTACAGGTATGTATGGGCCACCATATGTTCTTTATGTCCACATCCTACTGCCTTTAAAATAATTATTTTAAAGTTATAAACAGTGCTGTGGAGGAAACCCAGGGCCTCGCACATGCTAGGTGAGTGCTCTACCATTGAGCCACAACCCCAGCCCAACCCTGGTGCCTTCACTAAATGATCAGCTCCAAAGGGCAAGGTCTGGGGCTTGTTCATCTCAGCTTCTTCAAGAGCACCTACCTAGCACTGTGCATTAGAAGACTTCATTGTTGTCTCCTGACCCAAGGTGGAAAATGGAGCTTCAGCCTTCATACCCACATTCCAGAAGGAGGGAAAAGAGAAGTGAGGGCAAAARGAATGGGTCTCCCAACTGAGTTGTTCCCTTTAAAAGCACTTTCTCTGCCAGGTGTGGTGGTGCAGGACTGTAATCCMAGTGACTCAAAAGGCTGAGACAGGAGTCAACCTCAGTARTTTAATGAGGTCCTAAGCAACTTAGCAACACCCTGTCTCAAAATAAAAAAATAAAAACAGCTGAGGATGTGGCTCAGTGGTCAAGTGCCCCTGGATTCAATCCCAATTCCAAAAATAAATAAATAAATAAAAGACCATGCTTAGCTGCAAGAGAAACTGGGTTCATTGCTTCCCTTCAAGAGGTCATTCCTTGTTTTACAGATGAAAAAATAAGGCCCAGAGAGGATCAGAGAAGGGAGGCTGCAGAGCCTAGTGATTAAAAAATGGGTTTTGGAGGGCTGGGGTTGTAGCTTGGTGGTAGTGYACTTGCCTAGCATGTGTGAGGCACTGGSTTTGATCCTCAGCACCATATTAAAAAATAATTAAAGATATTGTGTCCATCTATAACTAAAGAAAAATTTAAAAGAAAGAAAGAAAAAGAAATGGGTTTTGGAGCTAGAGAGAACTGTGTTTGAATCCTATCCCCAACTAAACTTTTTATTCATTTGAAAAATTAGCTTAATGGTACCTACTTGTGGGGGAGGTGTTAAGAAAATTAAATAGGGCAATGGATGAGAAGAACACTTAACACAATGTCAAGCTCACAGTTATTGTGTATTGTCTTAGTTTGGGTTTCCTCAAAAGCAGATTCTGAGACAAGGATTTGGGTGTGATTAGTTTATTTAGGAGATAATTCAGAGAAGCAGGGTGAGGAGTGGGAAATGAGACAAGAAAAGGAGAAAAGAAAATAAAGCATACAGTTACAAGTAGGTTTTCACCAAGGAAATCTTACTTGGTTTTGCTGGAGYATGTCTTTGCAATGGGAATTGGAATAATCCCACTGAGCCTGAGCGGCCAGAAGCCCTCTTGCTACACCCAGGCTCTTCCTACCCTTATCCTGTCATGTGCCCTCCCCATAAGCCTGCTTTTCAAGCAGGTGGCCAACCCTGAGGCCCTGGCCTCAGCTGGGCGGGGTGTCCTTGTCCCTCTCCATACAGAGAACCTTTGAGCCCTCCCACTGTCCTTCTCAACCTTTTTCAACAGAAAATTCAATTCTGCCCCAAGGACCCTCCTCCTCCTTCACCAGCTCCCCAGAAGGATGCAGGCTGCAGACATCTGCAGGCTTTGTCTTCCTCCTTCCTTCCTATGCTTTGTGGGCATTTTCAGTCTTGGAAGTGAGTGAGAAAAACTAGGACATTTTAAACTCTTCTTTTACTGGTAACATTGTCTCATTTATCCTTCTCTTCCCTCAGCCCCTCTCCCTCAAGGCATTCAGCCTGGACATCTGTCCCAGCCAAAATCTCACCTTCCATCGTCCTTGCAGCCCAAAGCCTAGCCCAGTCTCTGACTCCTGCTCCAGTCTTCTCCCACCAAACCAGGAGGAAGCTAGTCTGTAGAGTATCCTGGGCCACCTCCAGTGTGGCCTCTGCCTCGGGCCTCAGTTTCCCCATCTGCTAAATTGGATTAATGATGCCTGCTCTCTAGACCCAGAGGATGAAGCGCTAAGGATACGAGTGAGGAAGGGTCTCTCGCTCGGCGCAGGCTCCGTGCGGTGCCCCAGGCCCTGCTGCTCGCTCCCCTCCTCTCGGCGCGCCCCTCCCTCCCCGTCCCCCTTCCCGCCTCTTCCCTGTCTTTCCGCCCCTCCGCCCGATCGTCTCCCTCTTTGACTGTCCTTCTCTATCCCTCACGCCTCCGGGTCCGGGGAACCCGCGTCCCGCCCGCCGCCGCCTCGCGGCCTGAGCCCCCGCCGCCCCGGGCAGGCCCAGCTCCACCGCAGCGCAGGCGGTCAGTGCGCAGTCCAGGCGCCCGCCTGGAGCGCGGAGCCGGAGCTCCATCGCGGGCTCGGACAGAACCATCCCGGTCGCCGCCAGCCAGGTGAGGGCATCTTGGAGGAGGCGGGGGTGGGGGGAGCCAGCCAGGTTTCGCTTTTATTGTAAACGGGGGCAGCGGGAGGCGTGGGGCCACTGGGTCCTTTTTCCTTGAACTGAGGACCTGGGCGCTTTTTCCCAAAGATGCTTAAGGGCTTTCACTCCAGGGCGATGGGCGGGGGAAGGACTCGGGTAGAGAGGGTTTGGGGTACCCCTTTCTGGGTGATTTTTCCTCCATGGGTAAAGACTAATTGGCTGCTCCCGTGAAAGTGGAAATGCTCTTCTTGGGAGGTTGAGGGGCTTTCAACGTAGATGGCGAGGAGGTTCTAGCGGGGCTGAAGATACGGGCTAGCTGGGGAGTGAGGGCTTGGGGGAAGAGGGGTTTGGCCATGTCCTCAACCCGATATCGCTGCACCTCCCCCTTTGGTTCCATGGCTCTGGGTCTGCCCAGCTCCGTTCCAGTTTTTCTCTTTGAAGATGTCTATTTTGAGCCTCACCTGGACAGAGCTAGGAACAGCCATTTCCTTCTCTAGAGCCATGCTGCCCACCTGACAGCCCCCCCTCCCGCCCCCTCCTGCCCCCCACCCCTGCCTCCTCAAGAAAGGAGGTTGGGGGAGAGCTTTCAGAGAAGGATGGGACCTGGAGACTTRGGAATTGGGCGGTGGTGAGTAAAACAGAGGCCGGTGTCTGGCACACAGGAAGACCCTTTGGTGTTGGGAGCTACAGAGCTGGCAGGGAGATGGCCGGACAGGCGCTCCTGCGGAAGGACCTGCTGGGAAAGCGTCAGGGTGGGAGAGAGTTAAGCTGCTCCCAAGCTCCAAGAAGACAAAATGCTAGAGAGCTTTTTTTGTTTGCTTGCTTGCTTGCTTGTAGTTATCCTTCACACTAGATCCCAACTATCATTTCCCTGGTCTCCTATTTAAAAAAAGAAAAAARAGAGAGAGAGAAAAGACGCAAAGGAAAGGCTGGCTGGAAATACCTGTGTTTAGGAGGGAAAAGTGGTGGAAAAGAAGGTACATTGAATTTGAAGTGGGGAGGGGGGACAAAAACAAAACAAACAAACAAAAAACCTCTGTTCAAGGCTTCCTTTATTGCTCCGTGGATAACCTTGGGCCAAAATGTGGCCCAAAAGAGCTTTGTAAAAGGGAATGTACCTGACATTTGTGAGGTGTAGTCTTCACCACTATAAATGCCCTCTCCTGGGTATCATAACCCATAGGGTGCCTTCTTGAGAATTAGGAAAAATACCTCYACTGGAAGGAGACAGTAGGACAATGGCTTGGGGTCTTTTATTATAAGAATTAGAAGAAGACATACTTTACCCCAGATGCCACTCTGACAGCTAGGCAAGTGGAATGTGGACTAGAGTCCAGCTTCCACCAAACCTCAAAGTGAGCGCATCCTGGTGCAGGAAGCATCCATAGCTGCATATGGTAACCCTTCCTCAACAGGCTGCCAGTGTCTCCAAGAGTCACAAAGCTACATACTCTCCCAGGGCATTTCATAGAGAAACCCACATCCCAGCTTATCTTACCACTTTGCCTCCACTTCAGGGTCCCAAAACCTGTACCCTACTAGGAATCCCACTATCAGAGAATGACTCCTTCCCTAAGCTCTTAGGTACCAGTTACTGAGTCCTTAACCCTTTATGTCAAGAACTTGATCAGATTGATTTTCCTACCGCTAAGCACAGAAGCATCTGCACACCTGGGTAGCAGTGCTCTTTATAAACCATGGTCACACCTGCTATCTCAGAGCATTCTCTCAGCATTTACACAGAGGAAGCCATACCCAGATAGGTTAAGAAATTTGCCTGAGATTTCAGAGTTAGTGGTAGAGCCAAGACCCCAGCCCAGACTTAGGTGTGTCTACTCCATTCCACCACAACTGAGGAACAAAGCTACTGACTTCAGTCCTACCAAAGCCCTGCTGGAATTTTGCTCTTCCTGTATCCCCAGCAACCCCTGACTCTTCTCCTCCAGTGTCCAGCCTCAAGGCAGAGGAGTTGCCTTTTTTTTCACTCAGATTTCATGAGGGTGGAGTTACCTCAAAGCCCAGCTTCTTTCTCCTCTTCAATTCTGGGAGAACCCCTAGGAAATCCAGAGGTCCTGTGTGAGGGCTGACCCTTAAGTGGGTCAAGGCCAGGAAAGAGTCAGAGGGCAGTTACTCCTCTTCCTTCCCAGAAAGCATTCAAATAGTAACTGTTATGAAGGACACTGACAGAGACAGTGCCCACTGTGAAGAGCAAGCCCAGGATCAGAGAAGACCCCCCCACTTCCACACCCACACAAAATGAAGTGAACTAGAGTCTGAGAGAAACTCTTCTCAGTGTTTCCTGTCTCCTGTGTTACCAGGGCTCTGGGTGTCAAGAGGGAAGGAAAGGGGTGAGTCCAGCAGACAATGCTGTGGGCCTCTTCAACCACAGCATTTCTGCTTGTCTGTGGTATATATGTTCCAGACTTCACTTTAGAAAGGAGTTTCCATGCTTACCCCCCCCCCCCAAAAAAAAAGAGAGGTTTGGAGAATCACTGGTCTAAGTCTAGTGGTTCTGAAAATGCAGTCCTTGGACCAGCTTCATGAGCATCACCAGGGAGATTTTGGGGCTAGGCACTGGGGATTGAACCCAGGGGTGCCTAACCACTGAGCCACATCCCCAGCCCCCACTTTTTTGCATCTTATTTACAGACAGGGTCTTGCTGAGTTGCTTGGGGTCCCACTAAATTACTGAGGCTGGCTTTGAACTTGGGATCCTCCTGCCTCAGTGTCCCCAGTGGCTGGGATTATAGGCACTTACCACCACACACGGCTATCAACTGGGAAATTGTTAAGCACACAAATTTTCGGGCCCCATCCTAGATCTACAGAATAAACTATGTGGCTAGGGCCCAACTATGTGTAGTTTTTATTATTGTTGTTGCTGTCTTTTTTTTGTCTCTTGCAGTTCTGCAGACTGAACCCTGTACGTTGAGCTACATCCCCAGACCTCCATTTATTTATTTATTTATTTATAAAATTTTGAGACAGGGTCTTCGTAAGTTATTCAAGATGGCCTTGAACTTGCGATCTCCTGCCTTAGTCACCTGAGCAGCTAGGAAGGACTACAGGCGTGCATCATCATGCCTGGCCCTGTGTTTTAATGAGCCCTCCAGGTGACACTGAACACATTAAAGTTTAAGCAGCACCATCCTAGTCATTGTGTAGGAAAATCGAGGGCAAGTTCTGGGTCAAGGACAGGGATAGGAAAAAAACCCATGTCTCCTCCAGTCCAGAGAGCAGGATATTTGGAAGTGAGTGCTGTCCAACTCTCCTTTCCTTCCCCCCCTCTCCTCCAGGGGCCATGCTGTTGCTCCTGCTGGGCCTGCTAAGCCCGGTTGCCTGCTGGGCACTGGGCCTGGCCGCTGACCCAGGCTCCTCAGAGCTGCGCTCAGCCTTCTCGGCTGCACGCACAACACCTCTGGAGGGCACTTCAGAGATGGCAGTGACCTTCGACAAGGTGTACGTAAACATCGGAGGCGACTTCGACGCAGCCACCGGGCAGTTCCGCTGCCGCGTGCCCGGCGCCTACTTTTTTTCCTTTACTGCCGGTAAAGCCCCGCACAAGAGCCTGTCGGTGATGCTGGTGCGCAACCGCGACGAGGTGCAGGCTCTGGCCTTTGACGAGCAGCGGCGTCCAGGCGCTCGGCGCGCTGCCAGCCAGAGCGCCATGCTGCAGCTCGACTATGGCGACACGGTGTGGCTGCGGCTCCATGGCGCGCCACAGTACGCTCTCGGCGCGCCGGGCGCCACCTTCAGCGGCTACCTAGTGTACGCCGACGCTGATGCCGATGCGCCTGCGCGCGGGCCGCCCGCGCCCCCCGAGCCACGCTCTGCCTTCTCCGCGGCGCGCACGCACAGCCTGGTGGGCTCGGACGCGGGCCCTGGGCCGCGGCACCGGCCGCTCGCCTTTGACACCGAGCTGGTCAACATTGGCGGTGACTTCGACGCGGCGGCCGGCGTGTTCCGCTGCCGCCTGCCCGGCGCCTACTACTTCTCCTTCACGCTGGGCAAGCTCCCGCGCAAGACGCTCTCGGTGAAGCTGATGAAGAACCGCGACGAGGTGCAGGCCATGATCTACGACGACGGCGCGTCGAGGCGCCGAGAGATGCAGAGCCAGAGTGTGATGCTGGCCCTGCGGCGTGGCGACGCGGTCTGGCTGCTCAGCCACGACCATGATGGCTACGGTGCCTACAGCAACCACGGCAAGTACATCACCTTCTCCGGCTTCCTGGTGTACCCCGACCTCACCCCCTCTGGCCCGCCGGGACTCGGGCCCCCGGAGCTCTGAGCCCCGACCGATCCCAGAGGAGCCCCGGAGGGCYAAGGGGCGTGCATGCCGAGCCGGACCGCGGCCCGAACGCCCCACCGGCGCGAGCATGACGGCCTGCCCAGCGCGGCTGGACTCTGCCAATAAAGTGGGCCTGCGCCGGCCAGCCCAAGAGTTCGCTCTGTCTTAAGCGATGCTTTGCCTCGGGATGGGACAGGAAAACACTGAATTCTGCAGCCCACAGCCGGAGGTGGGGATCAGGCCCTGGGAGGGTGAGAAGGTGGGAAATTTCATCTAATGCGTGTTCCTGTCCAATCTGTCACTCCGCCTGACACCTCACATTTGACTTAGACCTAGGGCCCATCTGATTCCTTTCCATGATGAGACAGCATGCCACTACCCACCCCAGGCCACAGGACTCAAAGGGAACATAAGTTCCTTCTTCCAGTAGGGTGTGGGAATGTGATGAGGGCTTGACACCTGATTGCTCTGCCTCCTGCCCTCCTAGGATAAAGAGGGTGGTTTCCTTAGGGTTGCTTTAGATAACAGAATGACTCAGGCTCCAGGAGCCAGAACAGAGTTTTTTATAAGAAGAGATACACAGAATCCCAGCTACACCTACCACAGCCTGCATCAGYTAGTCTCTCTGGTTTGGGTGAGTCCTCTCCCAGCCTTATTCCTTCCTCTGAGATGTTCATCTGAGATTTGTTGAGATGGAAGATAGGACATTTGCCTTCCTTTCTCCAAAGAAGTTAAAGTTCCTCYACTGCTTCCCTCCACTCCTCCAACAGACAGAACTCAAGAAGTCCAACCTGGGCTCCCAATCCAGATGGGGAACTTGCAGGTTCAAGGGACTCCAGARCCCTGGTCAGGCTTGAGAGGACTATCTAAATTAGGACTGGGTGCTGGGCATACAGATACCTGTAGATTCCACAGGACCTCTCAGACTGTTAGGGTAGGAATTGGAGGCTGGAGGTTCTAACCTGAATATACTTAGGGCTGTTCCCCTTTTAGCATCATTTAAACACACTTCTCAATCCTGGCCCCAACACATGTACTGCCCACAAGTCCTGCCCTTAGCTGTGTGCCTGCTGCCCCTCCCATGCCTTGGGCTCTTAGCCCTATCAAAGTCTATGGAACAAGAAAGGATAGAGGTAAGCATGAAGTGGGGGGAGTCAAGGTGCAAGTCCAGCCCATAAATCTGAGTAGGAAAAAACAGGTGCCAGATAGAAGTCCTTTGCCCAGGATGGGTCTGGCGCTCAGGTTTTTTGTTGTTGTTTTTGTTTTCTTTGGGGGTGGGTGGGGGGGTGGGACATAATAGGAGGGGAAAATGACAGGTAAAAAGGAAGGGTCAGGGGAAGGGGCCAAGGATGGAGGCCCAGGGCCCCAGCCAAGGGGGCTGGCCCTGGGGGCAGAAATCTTTACACAGGTCCCAGAGTGTTTCCTGGGCCAGGAGGGAGAAGACCTGGGCCCAGCGACCCCTTTCTTCAGCCTCACTAGCAGCATGGAGCCGGTAGACGCAGGATAGGCCTGTGAGGAGCAGATGTTCAAAGTCCCAAGGACTAAGAGGAGGCCCCTTCCGCAGGTCCTGGAGCTGTTTCAGATGCTGCTCAGCACCCTCCAAGTCACTGGGTACTCGGTGCTGCAGGAGGAGCCTGAGTCGGCGACCTGGACGTGTGGATGCTAGTTCTTCATCCTGGATGTACAGCTGCCCCATGACATCCAGCTCCAGCCCAGCCCAGAGCAGCTGCAAGGGGAGCTATTTAAGGGATGGGCTGAAGCCTGGGGAGCCGGGCAGGGAGCATAAGCAGGCAGTAGAACTCATGCCAGGTTGTCCCCCACCCCCGGCAGGCACACCCTGATATTCCCCTTCCCAGCCCTAAGCTTAGGGACTTGTGGAAATTCCCACCCCCACAACCCAGGCTGGGAATAATGACCTCAAACATCACTTCGGGGGCCTCTGGGTCCTGCAGGCCACCTCCCACGCTGGCGCTGTCCTCGGGCTGCCCTGGGGCAGCAGAGAGGAGCCAAGCCCTTGTCATATTCCACTCTGAACACCCCAGGGTCCCAGAAGTGCCCTTCAGCTGCCTCATAGGGGTCCCTCCTGGATCTTCTGTCTACTAAAGTGTAGGAATGCCATCTCATGCCCCCCTCCCCCATCCCACATGCACACTGGCATTCATCCTTCCAGGCATGGATCTTGTGATCTCAAAGTGTCATACCAAGTTATACCAAAGGGTCAGCAAATACCCAGGACTCCTCCTTTAACTTGCACAATTCSCTTGGTAAAGAGCTCCACACCAACAGGTCACTTCCTCCCTTTTTCCCTCCCTATAGTCATCTGGGGATAATGCCAATGACCCTCTGCAAAGGATAAGGACCTCTTTTCCTTTTGCAATGCTGGGGATTAACCCAGGGCCTTGCATGTACAAGGTAAGTGCCCTGCCACTGAGCTATACTCTCAGGCCTTTTTAAAAAAATTGAGACAGGGTCTTGCTAAGTTACTGAAGCTGTCTTGGAATTTGTCATCCTCCTGCCTCAGCCTTTGGAGTAGCTGGAATTATATGTGGAATTATATGCATGCAGCTTTGTGCCCAGCAAGATGAGGACTTTTTTGGAGGGGGCTACTCTTTCCTTGCTTCTCCTCAGTAGTGCATTGTGTGTAAGGCAGAGAACTGGGCAGGACAGGATGACTGTTAATTTTCCTCCATCTTGTATCATGAAGTGTGTATCATTAGCAGTGATTGTCCCAAACCCAGAACACATCAAGAGACCCTGCTTTGGACATCAGCTGAAATAAGCCCAGGGCCCAACTGTGACTCAGGCCAGCATTAAGTGGGGTCCACACCATTACCCACTGAAGCATACACTTCAGTCCCACAGATCCTTTGCCCTGTGAGGATCAATTGGAGCCAGCAGAAATTGCTGTCTGCCAGTAGCCTTTCTTGGCTCCTATCCACCCACCCTGAGGCCTCTGTACCTGCATGGTGCTGGGTTGTTGTTGCTCCAGGGCAGAGGCAAATGGCTACCACCAGATAAGCCAGTAACTGCGGTGTCCTGGCCATGCTGCACCTCATCCTCTGAGTCTCACTCTTCCTAGCAGCTCTGTGCTCYCTCATTTGCCTGCCACATACCACAGCTCTTAACTTTCCACTGCAGGCTGCTCCAGCATTCTGTTACGMATGTCAGTCTTCAATGAAGAATAGGGAGGGACTGGCTTGTGGCCTCCATTACCTCCTTGGGCCCTTTCCACCCTCCAGAAATGGGAATCTGTGGTTTTGGCAGTAGCAGCCTGTTCCTGCCTAATGGGTGGGATGCTTAGTTAACAGAAAAAAGGGCTTGGTAACAAACTGGCTTGACCTTCCAAAGGGGGAGGAAAGATCTCAGGCAGTAATGCTACCTTACTATCTGTCCTCACCCTTGAAACATCCTGCTACTGACAAGATGCCAGCCCCTGACACCCAGTCCAACTCTGCCTCTGGGAGCTGCTTGGGTGCCAAGAGCATCAGCTGCAGAGCCCAGTACTCCAGCTGCATGCTGGGTGGGCCKCGGGCGGGCCGCGTGGAAGGCAGAGCCTAGTGCTCTCATTTCAGGCATTCAGCCACAGGTTGAAGAGACCCTAGACCAGCTGGGGAAGCGAGTACTGTCTCCTGACAGACAAATCTGCCACTCCTTAGCGTTTTTGCCGTAGTCCTAGAGTCTCCTCAAGGCTCCAGTCTTGGTTCAGGCCAGAAACTAGGCAGATTCCTCTAGCTCAAGAATGACAAGTTATCAGGCTAGAGATAATACAAGATTCAAGGCTCAAAAATGAGCTAAGGTGTTCTTTCAAGCTTTGACTATTGGCTCATGTCACCCTGTGGAAGTGTGGGTGGGAGGAGAGTAGAATGGAGATTSCTTGGTTCCACCCAGGAATCCATCAGATGCCACCATGAGAGGCTTACTGCATTAGAGGCTTACTTCAACAGTTATTGAGACCCTCCAGTTCTCACTAGATGCCACACCAAAGAGATCCTGAACCCACTGGAATGTGAGCACTTTGAATTAGTCAGAATCCCTCTCAGAAGTACATTACAGGCCTGCAGGTGACAGTATCTGCAACACCACTATTTACTCCCATTAAAATACACTTGTARGCTGTGGGAGGTGTTACATGTCTGTAATCCCAGTGACTTGGGAGTCTGAGATAGGAGGATCATAAATTTGAAGCCAGTCTCACAATTAAAAAAAAAAAATGGTCTGGGGATGTAGTTCAGTGGAAAAATGCCCCTGGGTTCAATCTGGACTACTCAAAAACAAACAAACAACAAAGAAAACCAAAACAGTGCCAAGTGTGGTGGTGCATGCCTGTAATCCCAATGGCTTGGGAGGCTAAGGTAGGAAGATGGCGAGTTCAAAGCCAGCCTCAGCAAAAGTGAAGTGCTGAGCAACTCAGTGAGACCCTGTTTCTAAATAAAATGCAAAATAGGGCTGGGGATGTGGCTCAATTCAATCCCTGATACCCACCCCCCACCAAAAGCAAACAAACAAACAAACAAAAAAAAAAAACAGACTTGCAGCTTTGGTACATTCTAAGGGAGCAGAGAAACACCTTTGTCTGCACCCGCCTTTACCTGAGTCAAAGTGTCCCTCTACCCATTATTAGCACACAWGAAGTGTGGAGTCTTAGTAGGAATTTATTTACACAAACAATCATAGATAAGATGCTCTCCTGAATTCATAAGCCTTCCCTGGAGCTATTTGGCTTCAGGCTTCTTGTCTCCGGCTTCAAGCTTGAGATTCTCAGGAGGCTGACGATAGGCAGGGAAAGCCTCCCAGGGGCTGTTCAGGTCAAACTTGCGGAACTCTTGGGCCAACTCCACTGGCTCAGCCACCACCCGCTTTACTTCATCATCATAGCGTAACTGCAGGAACAAAAGACAGGACTGAGTACTGAAGAACGTTTTGTCATGGCCACTAAGGAGCACACTTTCACGGGCCATGGGCAATTCCCCCAGCCTATCATCGTTCTCTGTCCTTGACTCCTATTCTAGCCTTTTTTGTCAACAAATCTCCATACATATTTGTGTGACCTGTCACGATGCGTCACACTCCAACAACCTGGTAAGTGGAATTCCCAGATGGTCTCCTACCACTCATGCACTTCAGCAACATTCAGACTCCCCTGTCGCCTGCCCCACCACAGTGTGAACTCTGAACCCTTTTCTAGAACTGATTCTGCTCATCCATTCTCATAAGATAATGGAAAGCATTTGTCCAGGATTGAGAGCAGCTGGTGGCTGAAAAGAGTAAACGTAAACTGATAGACACAACTTCAGGCCTTCTGGCCTTGGTATTTCCACTGTCAATATCTCAGAGCCAAGAGTGGTTGTGCCAGGATTGTAATGCATCGGCTTAGGAGGCTGAGGCAGAAGGATCGCAAGTTCAAAGCTAGCTTCAGTAACTTAGCAAGACCCTAAACAAATCAGTAAGACTCTGTCTCTAAATAAAATACAAAAAAGGGCTGGGGATGTGGCTCAGTGGTTAAGTCCCTGGGACCAAAAAAAAAAGTCTGAAGTTAAACGAGGCATATTGGCTCATGCTTGTAATTAACATTTCTAAAAAAGCTACCTTGCTACAAAATTTATGTTTTGTTTTTTTTTTTAAGGCTACCTTCCTGCTAATAGACAATCAGCAGTGCCACTGGGAAAAAAAAATTTATTTTTTTAAGTACTTTTTGTTATAGATAGACACAACGCTTTATTTATTTTTATGTAGTACGCTGAGGATTGAACCTAGYGCCTCACACATGCTAGGCAAGCACTCTATCATTAAGTCACAACCCCAGCCCACTGGAATTCTTTATAAGACTCTTGTAGTGACATATTACTGGTCCTGCCTCAGTGGCTATTCATTTTTTTGTTTCTTCTTGGTAACAGGGATTGAACCCAGAGGTACTTAACTTCTGAGCCACATCCCCAGCCCTTTTTATTTTTTAATTTTGAGACAAGGTCTCACTAATTTGTTGAGGCTGGCTTTGAATTCTTGATCCTTTTACTTCAGCCTCCTGAATTGCTGGGATTACAGGTATGTGCCACTGTGCCCAGTTTGGTGGCTGTTTGTGAGGATTAGACATTTAGCATCTTCCCTGCCTTATTGCAAATCTAGGGCAAGGAAAAATAACCCTCTACTTTCAGGAGTTGGGGGCAGACTGTTCTTTTTTATTTGCGGGGGGGGGGGGGGGGGGGGGCCAGGGGTTGAACACGGGACGCACTCAATCACTGAGCCATATCTCCAGCCCTAATTTGTATTTTACTTAAAGACATGGTCTCACTGAGTTGTTAGTGCCTTGCTTTTGCTGAAGTTGGCTTAGAACTCCTKACTCAGCCTCCCAAAYAGTTGGGATTACAGGCATGCACCACTGTGCCTGGCCAGATTGTTCTGAAAGCTGCTTTCATCATTAAAATGATTATTATAATAATAGCTAGCATCAACTGATATTTAGCACACTTAAAACACCCAGCTTCACACATACATCATTTAAGCTATTATTGTCCCTACTGTACAGAAAATAGAACCATAATTAAATTAAGTACCTTGCCCCAGATTACAAAAATGAAGCTAGGATTTGAATCCAGGGCCCACCCCCACAGATCGTGCCATCTCCACTATTCCCTAYTCCCTGTGAGTCCCTCCCTAAGGCTAGCACCCCAATTTCAAGGCTCTTACCTCAACATAACCAGACAGTGGGAAGTCTTTCCGGAAAGGATGTCCCTCAAAGCCATAATCTGTCAGGATCCTTCTTAGGTCAGGGTGGTTAGCAAAAAAGACACCAAACATGTCCCAGATCTAGAAAAAAAGAGGCTCTCAGGCAACCAGTCCACAGGGCCTATAATAGGGGGGAAGGAGCTACATTACAGCCCAAGTTTCAACCAATTCAGCAACTCTGGCCCAGAGGCAAGTCCCATCATATCCACCAACTCACCTCCCTCTCATACCAGTTGGCTGCCTTATACACAGAGACTGTGGACTCAATTGGTGTCAGCTCATCTGTATAGGTCTTCACACGGATCCGTGAATTGAAGCGCAGAGACAGCAGATTGTAGACAATCTAGGGAGAACAGAGGGAACTAGAGGATGAAGAAGGGCACAGTTTGAGGAGTCTCAGATGAGAGTCTCTGGGTAAGCATTAGCTATAAGGATTCAGGGTAGGTTAGGGTTTCACCTGTGACCCTGCTTTCTGTTTGAAGTTCAAAAMGTCAAGATGTCCCTATGCTTACAACAACTTGCAAAGGCACGGCCACAGTGTGGCTAGGCATGTCAGCATGCCTGTCTTTGCTTGTGCTACTCTTTGTTTGGAAGATCTCTCTGCTCTACCTGCCCCAAATCCTCACGAGGCTAATTTCTGGTATTCTTCTCATCTGTTAAGATTCAGCATAAATATCTTCTTGAAAGAAGCCTTTCAGACAGTGCCCCACCTGTTTCTAAAGTATCCCTCTACCATCCTATGTACTACAGATTACTACTTTAAGTTACAAACCTTTTGCTAGGTGTGGAGGATAGATACTAGATGTTCTTTCTCTTTTCCAGGGTCTGGCACATAGTAGATGAATAGAAAATACTAACTATTAAGTGTATTGAGAATCTGTGTGCTAATAAGTCACCTACACCATCTCATTTGATCCTGACAACCACCAGACATGATACAAATAACTTTTTTGGCAGTACTAGAGATTGAATCCAGGGCCATGCACTTGCTAGGCAAGCACTCCACTAATAAGTTACATTCCCAGCTCTTTTTTATTTTGAGGCAGGGTTTTACTCAGTTTCCTAGGCTGGCTTTGAACTTGTGATCCTTTTGCCTCAGTTTCTTGAGTAGCTTGTATTATAAGCATTTATCACCAAGCCTGGTTCTTACTTATTTATTTATTGGTACTGGGTATTGAACGCAGAGACACAATGAACCACATCTCCAGCCCTATTTTGTATTTTTTTTAGAGACACGGTCTCACTGAGTTGCCTAGTGCCTTGCTTTTGCTGAAGCTGGCTTTGAACTTGCTATCCTCCTGTCTAAGCCTCCCTGAGCTGCTGGAATAATAGGCATGCGCCACTGTGCCCCACCTGGCTCTTCTTTTTTAATTGCCTTTCTGATAATTCTCTACTGGGTTTCTTGCTGTAAGAAATTATACTTACCAGCATCCTGAAATCACTAAGATAAATCCTCCTTATCTAATATCACATCTTTTTAWAATATATATGTATATATTTAGTTGTAGATGAACACCATTTATTTATTTGGTGCTGAGGATCAATCCCAATGCCTCATGCATGCGAGGCAAGTGCTCTACCACTGAGCCATAACCCCAGCCCTCACATCTTCTAACCTTACTAGTTAAAAAATGTCCAAGGACAGCCATAACAGATCCTAATGAACCATATAATATCAAGTCCTGTGTGCAGGGAATGTTTTTGACATCTGAAATTGCTGGAAGCATAAAAGGTTTTCTTTTCTATGGCTTCAGCAGTGCCTGCAGACCTGTCCCACCATCACCTACACTCATTTCGCAGATGAGAAAACTAAAGCACTGGACGTGGTGGTGCACACCTGTAATCCCAGTGGCCCAGGAGGCTAAGGCAGGGAATTGCAAGTTCAAAGACAGCCTCAGTAACTTGGTGAGGCCCTGAGTAACATAGCAAGACCTTGTCTCTAAATAATAAATAAAAAGGGCTGGGGATGTGGCTAGTGAATTTACTCCCTAGTACAAAAAAAAAGAAAAAAAAAATTTAAAGCACACAACACACACAAAATCAAATAGAGTGGGTACCAGGGTGTATGCTTATAGTTCCAGCTACTCAGGAGGCTGTGGTGGGAGAATCACTTCAACCAGAGTTTAAGGTCAGTCTGGGCAACAAAATGAGACTTTGTCTAAAATAAACAGTATGTTTGAGGTCACAAAGTCAAGWGATGACAGAGCCAAGATTCTTACTTAAGGTCTACCTGACTCTAAAGCCCTGGTTTAACTGATGTGTTCTACTGAATGAACCAAACTGAAACTCGAGAGACTATGGTTCCCATTGGTAGCTGTCACCTTGAAAATATTATGTCCCCTTTCTTTTTTTCTGGATTGAACCTAGGGGCATTTTACAACTACAGGAGCTACATTCCCAGTTCTTTTTATTTTTTTATTTTGGGATAGTGTCTTGCTAAGTTGCTGAGGGTGGCTTTGACCTTGAGATCTTTCTGCCTCAGCCTCCTGAGCTGTTGGGATTATAGGACACCACTATGCCTGACTCTGTCCCTTTCTCACCCTTATTCCCCAAAACTTCTCAAATTTCCTGACTGACCTCAAAACGATTTTGCCGAGTTGGTACATCCACTGCTGTCAGGTCAGCCAAGGATTTGAACTGTGCATTGGTGTGATCCCGGAGGAAAGTCAGCACTGGGATGACTCCATCAGGATGGATACAGATCTCTAACTCATTGAAGCAGGTCACCTACAGACACAGAAGGGAGGAAAGAAAAAGGAAATATCTACAGAGGAAGCAGCTAACTTCAGTTGGAATCACTTAGCTTAAAATAGAGAAAGAAGCTCAAGCTAGGGATGGAGAAATCTATGGTTTCTTTGAAACTAGGCTACTCATTCCCATGTGCCCTGAAAACATGATTCTTTTTCGACCCAAACCCAAATAACTGTAGTGAATATTACCTGAACTTGTTGGACATACTTGGGCAGGATTTCAGCTACATACTCTCCAAAAGCTGAGAGCTGTTTGTGGGCCACATCGTTCTGTGGTCTGACTGTGGCTGGAAGGAAAAGACGCATTTAACAGAGTGAAGAAGGCAGCAACCAGCTCTRCATCTATTCTCTTGGGTTTATAAAGGGTGTCATCTTTCAGCAGGACTCTCTACAGGAAGGTGCACTTGAGCTGGGTATGATAACACAGGTCCATAATCCCAGTGGTTTAGGAGGTTGAGGCAGGAGAATTGCCAAGTTCAAGGCTAGCCTCAGCAACTTAGTGTCTCAAAATAAAAAATAAAAAGGGCTGGGTTTGTGACTCAGTGGTTAAGTGCTCCTGGGTTCAATTCCTGTACTACCCCCGCATACACCAAAAAAAGAAAAAAGTGTAGGTGGAGAGTTCTTCTTCCAGGGTATAGGAAATAATGAAAAATTGGAGAAAGATGCCACCTCACCTACATAATACACTAAAGACTTATTACTGCAACTGTGGTGTTTGCCACTTCTTGAAACTATTCCATGCTCTTCCCTTTCTATACTTCTGCAAATACAGCATAGTGTCAGCTGTCCTACMAGACTAGAAACTCTTCAAGGACAGGAACCACACATTTGCTTCTCTTTATCTTCTTGGCCCTTAGCTTACTCAAGATTCTCATGCTAAGAGCTTCAGGACTGACTGAAGAGCCCTCACAGATTATCTTGTGAACCCCATCTTCCTTTTTGGTGTGTGCATCAGTAAGAAAACCTAGACCTAAACCAGAAAAGTTAGGTCTTCTATTTCCCAGTCTGCTTATATTGACTGTAACATAATTTCCAAATACTCATTCATGCAAACCTAATCACTGGGCACTCACCCAGCATAGACTGGGGAGAATGGTTAAGTGCCTTTGGCGGCAGGCAGACCAACTTTCTCTGTGACTCTGAACAAATGTTTTATTTATTTATTTGTTTATCTTGAGATGATGGGGATCCAACCAAAGTCCTTGGGCATGCTGGACAGRTGCTCTACCACCGAGGTACRTTTCTAGCCCCAGATCCTGGGCAATTTAGTTATCTGGACTGTTTGCTGATTCATAAAATATGTTCAGTTAAATACAGTCTACCTCATAAAGCTGTTGTGAGGACCAAATAACATTATTCATAAAGGCTTGGTAAGGTGCCTGATACGCAGTGAGCGCCCAATTAACTTGAAAGCTGCTGCTGTTACTGGGCTCTGAGGTCCAAAAGTTAGATCTTCTGCCTTCAAAAAACTGTCAACTTAATCAGAGAAAAGAGGATCCTGAAAACGGACAAAGGAGGAAGGCCACTAACAGGTCCATAGCACARGGAGAGCTCGATTCTGCCTATCGGTTAGAAACCATGGCAATCAGGTCTCCAAGGACAAGCAGAGATTTGCCAGGRCACAGAAGGACATCCTAGGCAAGGACAAGTATCTGACCAAGGATACGAAGGGACCMGCTAACAGTCTGGAGAAAAGCGCTGCCCGCACATACTCACGGCGCGTGTCGGCCGAGGCGCTCTGCCTCCTCACCCGCTGCAACAGCACCGACGGTCGTCCAGCCCCTGCACAGGGAGATAAAAGGCACAGACGCGTAGGGTGAGGCTTGAGAAGTTCTTTGTGCTGGCGGCTCCACTACTTCTGACCCTGACCTCAGCCTGCTGCCCGCTGCTCACCCCTGGCCACCGCTGAAGCCCCCAAGAGTCCCCGCCACCAGACCCTGGCCGCCACGGCCGCCATGTTCCTCGGATGCAAACCAGGCTGCCAAGGGAAGGGCTTTTAGGACACGGAACCCCAAGGGCACGGAACGGAAGCGGAAATGTGCAACAAATMTTCTTCCGGGCGGTCGTGGGGTCGGAAGCAGGGGTTCCGGGCTCCGGGATGAAAGGAGGGAACGCAGGTGAGAAAACAAGACCGGCTAGTGGGGAAACCGTGAGGTGAACCTAACCCTAGGCCGCTGAGGCAGAAACTGGAGACACGGCGAAGACGCTGAAGAACCGGACTGGTGAGAGGAGAAGGGATGGTTATCCTGAGTTCTACCTTCCATACCCCTCCCCCGCTCCCCCAGCCAAGCTTTTGAGGAGAGAGGGCGGGCGGGTGGGGGTCCGGGGGTGGGGAGAACAGTTTCCCTAGCGACCGTTTCCCAGGCGACTCCAGGTGGAACAGACACAACACTGGGCATGGGCGTCCTCGTGCTCCTAGTTGGGGACAGCTGGGCTCTGTCTCAAGCTCTGGGACAAAGCTTTATAGATTCATTAGGGCGAGCGGGTAAAGGAGGAACAGAAACCCAGAAAAGAGAAAAAGTGAGGCTGATGAGTGTCCCAGGCCAAGCCTCATGTAGGAGTGTCTGAACTCCATGTGCAGGGGACGAGGGAAACTAGCCCCAAGGACGTGGCGAGGTTTTTTGGTGTTTTTTTTTTTTTTTCCCTTCCCCTCAACCTGGTTCTGCATCCTCTTACTAATTTTATGCCCATGGTATTTAGATATTAAGGGGTTTGAGATCATAAGCTTTCTCCAGACCCTTGCTTTCATGTGTTAACCTAAATCCCAAGTCTTCTGTTACATTATGGAGAGGAATAGTCAGTGTTCTCTCAGACAAAACATCAGAAGTTTGAGCTTTTATTGATTTCATCAGGGGAAGGGCACCACAGATTAAAATGAACCCAGCTTTGGTTGAAGGAGAGGCCAGTATGGACTAAGGCTAGTCTGGACTCCCTTTGCTTTCAGTTTTTCCTTTTCCCTCTCTGAGTGGAACAATTGGGTTCACAGACTAGGGTGTGATTTCCCCAAGTTACTTAAGGTAGGTTGCTTTGCAGACAGCTCGCAGAGAGAGAAGTTGGCTACCATGGAATCACCAGAGGAGCCTGGAGCATCCATGGATGAGAACTATTTTGTGAACTACACTTTCAAAGATCGGTCCCATTCAGGACGGGTGGCTCAAGGCATCATGAAACTATGTCTAGAGGAGGAGCTGTTTGCTGATGTCACCATTTCAGTGGAAGGCCGGGAGTTTCAGCTGCACCGGCTGGTCCTCTCAGCTCAGAGCTGCTTTTTCCGGTCCATGTTCACTTCCAATCTGAAGGAGGCTCACAACCGGGTGATTGTGTTGCAGGACGTCAGTGAGTCAGTTTTCCAGCTCCTAGTTGATTACATCTACCATGGGACTGTGAAACTTCGAGCTGATGAGCTGCAGGAAATTTATGAGGTGTCAGACATGTATCAGCTGACATCTCTCTTTGAGGAATGTTCTCGGTTTTTGGCCCGCACAGTGMAAGTGGGAAATTGCCTTCAGGTGATGTGGCTGGCAGATCGGCACAGTGATCCTGAGCTCTACACTGCAGCCAAGCACTGTGCCAAGACTCACCTGGCCCAGCTGCAGAGCACAGAGGAATTTCTCCATTTGCCCCACCATCTACTCACTGATATCATCTCAGGTAAGTATAGGGAGGGGGCACATCATACCCAGTTACTTGGGTATGATGTTCAGATTGTTCTAGTTCAAGACAAAGGAACTCTCAAACTTTCTGCTCTTAATTTATATTATTATCCCCGGGAGGAATGTAGATTGAAGTTGAGAATCAGTGTGGCCCCAGTTAGAGACAGAGTGCCTGAGAGAAGCAGCACTTTCCCATTAAAGGTGGGAAATCTGTTCTGTGCTTAAGTGTTCTCATCTCTCCTGTACTTTGCACATGCCTGTGAGACTAGTTTCCTAAGTAAATTGATGATGAACCAAGAAATSTAAGATAAACTTTTTTAGTAAAAGTCCTGACCCTGCAACTGAGATAAAATCACACTTTAGGTGATTTTTTGCTTCCATGGCAAATAGGAGCATATCAAGCCAACCATTTTAATTTTTAAAAATGAGGCAAAGGTCTGGGAGTGTAAGTCAATGGTGGGCTCTTGACTAGCATGAGTGTAGTCCTGGGTTTGATTCCCAGCACTGCAAAAAAGGCAAGGCAATTGTCAGTTTAATTTCACACATATGTACGTGTACACATACATACACACAGTGCTGGACAAATAAACTGGATCACATCTTTAAAGTCCCTTGCTCTGAATTTCTGTTTCAAATTGTCAGACTGTTATTGACCATGCTTTTCCTTTGGCTCTTACAGATGGTGTTCCATGTTCCCAGAACCCAACAGAAGCAATAGAAGCTTGGATCAATTTTAATAAAGAGGAAAGAGAGGCTTTTGCAGAGTCACTTAGGACTAGCTTGAAGGTAAGGCAGATTTCTTAAGAATTGGGGCACCAGYCAGGTACTGTGGCACACACCTATAATCCTGGCAACTAGGGAGGCTGAGTCAGGAGGATCACAAGTTTGAGGCCAGCCTCAGCAACTTAGCATGACCCTAAGCAACTTAGCAAGACCCCATTTAAAAAGGGGGGAGGGGTGCTGAAGATAGAGCTTAGTGGTGAAGTGCCTTTGGGTTCAATCTCCAGTATCAAAAAACAAACAAACAAACAGAATTGGGCACCTAAATCTCCATAGATTTCAGCCATCACCTGGCCTGGCCTCTTTCATGACTATTGAATAAAYTGTCTATTGCTTGAAGTTGCTATGATAGGGAGAGGAGATCCCAGAGGCCACCAATCTATGAGCTTCAAAAACTCCTCAAGTGAACTACTTTCATCATTTGGTTAATAATCTTTTGTCTGAAGCACAATTTATGATAGTTTTTTAAAAGCTGCAAGAGTGAGTGGCACAACAGATTCTCTACCTCAGTATCAAATGCCTGAAAGAGAGTAATTAGAGGARTCAGGAAGGCCAACGGTGATTGGAGGGGGGGAGTAGGTTACAAAAGGATACGAGTGAGAGGCTCAGGACTTAAAGATACTTGTCTCATTGAACTGACATGTCATTATAATTTTGATTTTGGCAACAGGAAATTGGGGAGAATGTGCACATTTACCTTATTGGAAAAGAGTCATCCCGTACCCACTCATTAGCTGTGTCCTTACACTGTGCTGAAGATGACTCCATCAGTGTAAGTGGCCAAAATAGCTTGTGCCACCAGATCACTGCAGCCTGCAAGCATGGTGGAGACTTATATGTGGTGGGAGGTTCCATCCCAAGGCGCATGTGGAAGTGCAACAATGCCACCGTTGACTGGGAGTGGTGTGCACCTTTGCCCCGAGACCGGCTCCAACACACCCTGGTGTCTGTGCCTGGGAAAGATGCCATATATTCACTGGGTGGCAAGACACTGCAGGATACCCTCTCAAATGCAGTCATCTATTATCGGGTAGGTGATAACGTATGGACAGAGACAACTCAGCTAGAGGTGGCTGTGTCAGGGGCCGCTGGTGCCAATCTCAACGGAATCATCTACTTACTAGGGGGAGAGGAGAATGACCTGGACTTCTTTACCAAACCTTCCCGACTTATCCAGTGCTTTGACACAGAGACAGACAAGTGTCACGTGAAGCCCTATGTACTACCCTTCGCAGGCCGCATGCATGCAGCAGTGCACAAGGATCTGGTGTTTATTGTGGCTGAAGGGGACTCCCTGGTGTGCTACAATCCCCTGCTAGACAGCTTCACTAGGCTTTGCCTTCCGGAGGCCTGGAGTTCCGCCCCATCCCTCTGGAAGATCGCCAGCTGCAATGGGAGCATCTATGTCTTCAGGGACCGATACAAGAAGGGAGATGCCAACACCTACAAACTTGATCCTGCCACTTCAGCTGTAACTGTCACTAGAGGCATTAAGGTGCTGCTTACCAATTTGCAGTTCGTGTTGGCCTAAAGTGGTGACAGGAAGAGCAACTGACTCCTTCACCCTCCCTTTTTCAGACTCCTCCCTAAACTCAAAATTCCCTGAGCCCCAATTCAGAGTTATATGTTATTCTGGGCAGCACCTCATCTCTTCCTTGAACACATAGGTGTTTTGTTTGGGTATTTTGAGACTGTTGCTGTAGAGCTGGCTGCTTGAACTGAGAGGTGGCCAGCCTGATCTCTGCCATCCCCACTGATCTTATGCCTCATTACAGATTGCTTAGTGTGAGTCTTTTCTCAGACCTTAGGCACAGCCTCCCCTCTTTACCTAATCAGTGTAAAATAGGAGCACCTCATCCCAGGGTGGAAGGAAAGATTCCCATCCTTACTTTTTCTATAGTCTATGAAGTGGCTAGTTGATCATTTTACCACAAAGAATTAGGTGTTAAGTTTTCCTTCAGGCTTTGGATGGGAAAATGGACTTAGCTAAGGGTGTATTTCACCAGCAGGGGTCAACTCTAGAATTTAGGACGTTCCTTTTATCATTTTCTCATCTTCTGTCAGAAAAAGCAACTTTGGTTTTATTTTTGGCTTACTCCAACGGGTAAGCTATAAAGTAGAAAGAATTATTTCTGATTAATAGCAGAAACTTGTTTTTCAGACTCAAATATATAAGGTCTCTGCTCTTTTAAAAGCTCTAAGCTAAATCAAGAGCTAGGAACTGTTCATACAAATAAAAGTTTTTGAAAGGATATGTGCATCTGTGTTGAATCCTGAGGGGTGACTTCCTAAGAAGAACTAGTCACATACCCATACATTTATTTTTTTGGTGGGGGGTACCAGGGATTGAACTCAGGGGCACTCAACCACTAAGCCACATCCCCAGCCCTATTTTGTATTTTATTTTAGACACAGGGTCTCACTGGGTTGTCTAGCGCCTTGCTTTTGCCGAGGCTGGCTTTGAACTCATGATCCTCCCGTCTCAGCCTCCCGAGCTGCAGGGATTACAGGAGTGCACCACTGTGCCCAGCATACCCATATCCATGTATTTCTAAATCAGCAATCCTGCCTGCATCCCATGCATTTTTTTTTTTTTTTTTATGGTGC